GGGTACAGCCCACCTTCCCATGCAGGAGTCCCAAGGGCAATCTTGTTGTTAAGAGCACGCGCTCCAACCAACTGAGCCATCCAGCCGCCCAATTTATTTTATGATAACACTGACTGAGACAGTTCATCAGAGATTTTTTTTTAAAATGGTGATCTGATGATATAGTGATTTTAATCACCATTTTTTCTTTCTATCGATTAGTGAATGAAAGCTGCAAGCCTGAATTTATAGAGCTTAAGAAGTGGCTGAAAGATAGGAAGTTCGAAGATCCAAACTTAATACCTGCCAGATTTCCAGGTAAGGTCTGGCATTCAACTCTCATGACCTTTATCACATGTGACATGTGGACACAGGTGACAGGAAAGCAGGGGTGACTTTTGTAGGTGGGCTGTATTGTCCCTGGGAGCACATCTTGTATTGTGTATCAGGCTTCCTGCCTTGTTATTATAATATTTGTGAAAGTGGATTAACATACATTACCTTGTTCTAAAAATAATTTGAATGGGTTTGTAGGGAGAAATTTCAGAATGGTGAAATAAAATTAAAAATTAAAAAAGGGAAATGAGAATAGAAAAATAAGGCGAAGGCAGGGATAAGGGTAATACATAAAAGCCACGATTATAAAATCTTGTACATCTCTCAGAGGTGAGCCACAAATTTGCCGCATCTCTCTAGCAGTCCAGACAATGTCTACGATCAGTTACCTGAGTCCTAGTGTTCTGTGAACAAAACTTCATGGTTTACTCAGCCAAGGTGCAGGCATTCCTACAACTTGGACCTGAGGGAAATGTCTTTGCTGGGTCCTTGAAGGGAAGACACTGAGGTCATGTGGTGACCGGTGGTGTCCTCATCCACACACTTACAGTGGCTTCATTAGACTTTTCAGGTCCTGCAGGGTGAGGGGATGATCGGATGGCTCAGGTGAGTCAGCATCGTTTTCTAAGGGGAGGGAGGTTCCGGCCCGCCGGTGGACGAGGGAGTCCTGGGGAGGCCTCAGCAAATCTGCTCCTCAGCTGCTTTGTGGCTGCTCCCAAGTGCTGGGGGCGGAGCCCTGTGCATGGCCGCAGCTGTGACAGTCACCTGAGCGGAGTGGATAAATGTTCTCTTCTGGAAGTTGAGCTTGTCATGGAGTTTGGATCAGTGTTCCCTTCTGGAACATTCTCTTACAGAAGTTGGGCAGCTTGCTGTGGCCACGGGCCTGCATGCAAGGCCACCCAGCTCTGTCCAGAAGTGGGCTTGAGGTCACCACGGGAGGCCCAAGCGGCTCTTCAGAAGGATTTTGGGTTTGCTGTAGCGCAGAGACAGCTGTGAGATTAGGGCTTTGGGCTGCTGTGTCAGGGCAGGTGCAGGCCCTTTACTTGAGAGAAAATTTAAGCCATACTTAAACCAGCAGCCTCTGAATTAAAAGGATTATTCTATTGTAGTATCTGTTAGGTAACTTAACTTTGAGCAAATTAACTTCCTTGTACATCATCCAAGATAAGTGATTTACCGTGTGCTCCTGACTAGGCCGTAGGAGGGGAGCCCTGGGCACAGAGGGGTGAACTTCTGGATGTTGGTGCTGGTGACAGCAGCGGGTGAACGCACTCTTGTGACTGTGCGCTGCCAAGGCCATGACTCCAGGCAGCAGCTGGCTGGGCCTGTTCCGTCCAGCTCGCCCAGTTAAGGAGTGCACATCTAATGGGTTGCCTGGTCGGGGAGGGGAGGGTGTAGTCCACAGGCTTTGTGGGACCTGACGGATGGTACTGGTCAGTCACAGAGGTCTCAAGCTCATCGCTGGGGAAAGCCGGGTTTGGTAGTGGGTAAAAGTGGCCGGAGGCCTCTGAGGTTGGGTGGGCACTGGGGGTCGGTTGCCCGAACCAGCTGGCAGGCTCCAGGGGACAGGCTCCTGTCAGAGACCCAGCAGAAATCCCGTGATCTGTAGGTCCCGACTCGGAAGCTCCCTTTGCCCTTCAGCTATTACAAACCCAAATGGAAGTCGGGACATTTTCCACAACAGCTTCTTGATCCTCTGGGAGTCAAAGGATGCGAGTCACCCAGCGTCAGCTTTGTGTAATTTTGAAGTTCATTCACATCTTTTACTCAAAATGGTGTCTCTGAGACCTTGAAGATATAGTAGGGTTTACCCTTTTTCTGTCTCTGTGTTCCTAGGTACAGGAAGAGGGCTGATGAGCAAAACATCCCTGCGGGTGAGACTTTCTCACATATCCTTAAAACCCAATGTAGATTTTGCTGCTTTGTTTTTGTGATTCAAATTCAGTGAATTAAAAATATTTCAGACATATAGGCATTTTTTTACCTAATGGATATGTTTGCATTCAATTCTGACTGTTGGAATTAAGTTTGCTGCATATAAGAGACAAACCCAAAGTAACAATGGTTAAGCTGAGTAGACGTTTATTTTGCCATCGTATAGATGAGCCTGGATAGGCAGACGTGGCCTGGCCTGGTCCCATGGCCATCAGAGGCCCAGGTTCCTTCCAGCTCTCTACCCACGTCCTTAGAGGGACCCCCACACCCTCAGGTCCTGGGTCTAGATTCTGGCGCTTGAGCAGCAGGACCGAGCAATGGGGTGAGGAAGGGCAGACTTTCTCCTGTCAAGGAAATTCCAGCCCCATCTCACCTGCCAGCGACCAGGGGCATGGCCCCAGCTAGCTGTGACGCAGGTGAGACGTGGGGTCCTTTCCCTGGCACTGGGCCCTTCCGATGGGATTGCGGTGGTGAAGAGAAGGAGAGAAGGCATGTTGGGGCAGGCCACAAGCAGGATCCGTCCACAAATGGTAGAAATCAGATGATGTTTTGAATGTGCCAGGAAGGGAGCTGCCCTCCTCGGAGAGGCTGTGCTGAGTAAAGTAAGTAGAAGCAGAGCCAGCAGAGGGAGGCGGCCTCGGAGCCTGTCCTGCCCAGGACGGCCTTCAGCCAGCCGTGGCTCCTGGAGGGAGGTGGATGACAGATGATCTCCGAGGTCTATTTTTGTTCTCGCTATGCTGTTTAAAGGGCATATCACACAGTTTTTTGTAAAGCTACAAATTAATTCCTTAACTTATTTTTTGCTGTTTTTTTTTTTTTAAGCGGCGCCATCCTGCCACCTGTTGGCAGCTCAGCGGCTGCTCAGCTCGGGCCAGGCATCGAACTGCTGTTGCTCAGAGCTCACACTCTTGAGCGAGCTCTTATCCAACTGAGCCACTTGGCTGGCCCTTCCTTAACTTATTTTTAATTATTTAAAAATTATTTTTAATTCCTTAATTTATATAAAGCCTAGCTACATACATATGTTTAGCCTAAAGAATGGTAGCTTTTAATGTGGTAATTCTATTATGCTATTTTTATTTTTTTATTGTTTTAAAATTTTTAATTGTGGTAAAATGTACACAACATAAAATTTACCGCCTTAACCATTTTGAAGTATACAGCTCAATGGTATTAAATAATTCACATTGTTGTGCAGTATTTTTACTTTTTGAACAGAGGTATAATTGACTTCATTCTGTAGCAGAATTTGGGGAGAGAAATAAAGCTCTTGTGTATACAGCAGTAACTATAGGTTGTTTTTGTTTAGATCATGAAGTGATAATTGGCAGTTGCTTTACATGTACTTTAAAAAATTTTGAAAGGTATGATAGTTCTTTTTTATATTGTTTTTTTTTTACATGTACTTTTAAATGTGGCCTTTTTGTTAAACTTTACATGTAATGAAATGCATAGATTTTAAGTGTCTAGCTTGATGAGTTTTGATGATGAAGAGATTTACCCCAGTCAAGACAAAGAACATTTTATCGTGTGGCTTTTTTTTTTTAATCAGAAAGTCGTGGGTGCCCAAACAGGAAGGGATGGTAGTGATCATCTAGGTTAATCCCAGTTGACAGATGAGGAAGCCAGAAATCGCACCCAGACGATTTCTGCCTGAGATTTTTAATCAGCTTAGGTGCCAGTTATAATGAAAGCAGGATCTTACGTCTGGCTTCTTAGTGCTTTTTTTGTTTCTGGTGTCTGTTACTTGGCATCTTAATTTTCCTTTCTATAAGTTTCTATCTCAGTGGGAGGAACTGAAAACCATACTTTTGCAGGTGGTAGAACGAGACCCTTGTGCTGGGTGGGCTGCCCTTTCTTTAGCTAGTTGGCACAGGTGGAGTACTCACGGAACACATGGATTGCACGGCTAGAGTTTTTTGGGGTGGTTTCTGCCTGTTTCCCGTGTATAGCACAATTTCCTGGCATAAGAAAGTGAAGGAACAACATGGTTTGACTTGTCAGAGTGTCTCCACATTCCTTTCTGGTGGTGGAAGGTGGACTGGTGGTGAGTGGGTGTCTGTCACTTAATTAACCTTTAATTCTTACTGGGGTCACAGTACCTGCGTGGGAGCAGCCTGGTCTCAGGGCTCCTTGGTAGTCTGTGGTTGGGATGCCTGGGTTCTTAGTAGATGATGGTGGAATTAAGAACTTGAAAAGACGCATACTCATGTGTCCTTCCCAAAGTATGGGCTTGCTAAACTTGACTTTCTCTTTTGGTAAGGAGGGACAGGTGATTATTTCGTTGCCTGCGAGTTGCCTGCTCACCACGGACACAGTGATTAGGAGCTACTTAGGGGCGTACATTGCTAAGTAAGTGACCACACACATGCTCACCTGAGCAGATGCTTCTCCTGTAATGTCTGGGTCGCTGGCAAATATGTCACTTAAAGCAGAGATCAGTAGGGCCCAGCCCTTCGCATAGCCAGCAGACATCTGAGATGACGCAAAAGGTTTCCTCTGTTCTAGGAAGTTTGTCCTTAATTATTGTACACTGCATTTTGAAGATTTTTAATGAGCTGCCCGGGATGTGGGTTGGAATCCTGCTCTGTCACTTACTGGAAAATGAAGACTAAATGGGATAATAGAGGTTCATCATGGCGGAGTGTCTGGACTCCTAGTAGCCTGTTCTGCTTCCTCACAGTAGAGCTTGACAAATGTTAATTACTCGCTTTTATTTTTACTCTTATTGTACTCGCTTGAATTCTCTTTCAACCATGAAGAGCTGTGGACGTTATGAATGTGTTAATGCTCCTTAGGGTAGAGGAGGGGAGGCCAGGCTGGGCGTGGGATCTGTCCTCTGGATCACCTCACAGCTGGCCTTTGTTGGGGGCTTTCTGAGGTCAGAGGGAGTGAGCCTCAGCAGGGGGCGTTTCTAAATCCTGAGGGTTGAAAGACTGTATTGTTTCTTAACCCAGGGTAAGTTCTGGGTTCGCTCTCGTAAGAGGGCTGATGTGTAATTATTTATTAGCCTGAGTAGAAGCAAGGATGCTCTTCTTAGCATTAATATTTTTCGTATCATCCTGAAATTTTGAGTAGCAGCTGAAACTTTGAAGGATTAATGTAAACGTTTTCTAAATACATTCGTGCAAATGAGCTGTTGATTGGTCACAAATAAAAATGCTGCAATGTGTAATTTGCAATAGAGTGGGTAGTAAGTTTAGGAACAAAAGCTTTAGAACTGTAATAAGTATATAATGAGCTTTTGTTATATACTTTTCCGTCTAAGTTCGTATCATACAGTAGAACTTGATGCAGCCATAAAAATGCTTCACTCTGCGCTGTCCAGGATGGCAGCTACCAGCCACATATGGTCGTTGAGCATTTGAAATGTGGCTTGTGTGACTGAGGAATTGAATGTTCAACATTTCATTTTAAATAATTAAAATTGAAATAACTACTTGTACCCAGTGGATTGTGCAAGTCTAGGTTCTTTCCGCCAATTTTTTCCCCCTAAGTTTTATTAATATATCATTACCCAAGTGAAACAAGTGGACTTCCAAAAGCTTTCAAACTGGAGAACCACGTTGGGAGCAAAGAGGTGTTTGCAAAAAAAGGAATCTCTTGCAAACAAAGCTGGGTTAGTGAGTCAGCTCTTGTATCAGTGTAACTTGCTCAGAGCACTCGTATTTCGTATTTTGGGTAAGCTGAGACCAAAGCCTTGAGGAAGGAAGACCCTCTCTTGGGTGCATTACGTCAACTGGGAGTGTCCTGACAGTTCGGCACAGTCCCTCTGGGACAGAGCAAACCACTGGGATTTCTGTGTCTTTTGCTTATCCATATTTTGAATAAAAGTAATTCCTTTAATCTGGCTTTTAATTTTAAAAGGTGGCAACCTCCTCCGTCTCCCCTGCTGGCTCTGTGCACCTTTTTAGTGGCAGAAAAACATGCTGGGACTCGTTCTCCCTGGAAGCCTTACCTGGATATTTTACCGAAGGCCTACGCCCTCCCTGTTTGTTTGGAGCCAAAAGTGGTGAATCTTTTTCCCAGACCTTTGAAAGCAAAGGCCAGAGAGCAGAGAACCCGCGTGCAGGAGCTCTTCACTTCCTCCAGAGACTTTTTCTCTTCCCTGCAGCCTCTGTTTTCTGAGGCGGTGGAGAGCATCTTTAGCTACAGCGCCCTCCTGTGGGCTTGGTGCACGGTCAACACCAGGTCCGTGTACATGAAGCTCAGGAGAAGGCAATGCTTTTCCGCAGAGCCAGACACCTGTGCACTCGCCCCGTACCTGGATCTGCTGAATCACAGCCCAAATGTCCAGGTGAGAAGTTGACAAGAGGCTACATGTTCCGTTTCGATAGGAAGGACTCTGACATGTAGAACGTGTGACTTTGCATAGTGAGTGAAACCACAGGGAAAGGTGTAGCTGGCTTTAGGTAAACCTACCTGCCGTCAGGTGTGCTCCTGTCTTTCCTCCGACCCCATCCTTTTCCTTTGCGCAGCTTTTCCTCTGGGCTCTCCAGACCCACAGAGCCCCGTGTTATATCCACTCGGTGGTCTGCCCCTCCCTCCCTCACCTTGGTTCAGAGCCTTCCTTTCCTTCTAGAGCTGGTCTGTTTCCTTTTAAACTCGGTGGCATTGCTGTCAGCTGTTCTCTTTGCTGTCGTCGCTGATCGACTTGCTCCTCCCTCCACTGAGCTCTGCAGTCTTAGAGGACGGGGACTTTGCCTTGTTCTTTGTCACCCCAGTGCTCAGCGCAGGACCTGGCACATAGTGGGCATTCAGCAAACCTTTATGGAATGGATAGATATTTGTGGGGAAAAAGAGTCTGAGAAGTCATTAACGAATCTCGCTTTGGGGACAGTCACAGATCTCTTGTTCCCCAAGCCCCCTCTCCTGTGGCACATAAAGGAGGTGTTTATATCTGTAGGTCATGCTGGGTAAAAGCCTGGCTTTGAGGGCAAAGGATGCCCATAGGTCCACTCACCTGTAACCCATCCAGGGTACCCTCGGAGGCACACTGGCCAGGACCCATGCTCATGCTGTCCTCTTCACGCCCCACGCCACCCTGGGAAGGTGGATGACGCCTGCTTAGCCCACTGCCAGTGAGAGGAGCGCGTGGGGACGCCCCCACTGTGCTTTTTGAGGCCGGGACATTTCTTACTTGTCTGCTTATTACTTTTATAGAAAGATGCATTTATAACAACATTAAGCAAAGGAGGCCAAGACTAGAAGGGTGTTTCTGTGGTTGTCAGTGAAATAATGTCGGGGGCTTGTAGCATAGTAGGGTGCTGGACGTAGGGACTGAGCCAGGTCCCGCTGGCGGGATTTTATTTTTACGGGGCTCTGAGTACGTTTATGAGTGTAGGGGTGCTGCTTACTCCGGCTGTGGGCATGTGGCCTGAGGGCTCTGGAGAGGCCTCCCATGTTTACTCTGGCTCTTAATGGAAAAGATGGTTGACCCGCGGACCAGAGTACATGGCCGCTGGCTTTGGCATGAAACGCCAAACCATGGCCCTAATCTGTTGTTGATGGCACAAGGTAGGAATCTCATTCAGCCTGATACTCATCCTCACCTCGCTGGGATTTGCTAAGTGTGTAGGCTGCAGGGCTTGTCCCCACTCCCTGGGGAGCAGTTAGGTCTTCTTGGCCTTTTCCTATCATTGAACAGAATTGTCACAAAACTTCATATGACAGTATCAGCCAATAGCACGCTGCTCAAAGGCTGGGTATTGTGAGACCTAATCTGATGTGCCGCCTTGACGGCTGTGGGCCTCACAGGGCCCCAGGGCCTGATTGGCAGCTCCTCCCCTCTCACCGGATATTCCCCCCACCTGGCAGGAAAGCCTTCCCACCTGGCTAGTTGCTCTGTCAGCCAGACTAGCTGCACCCCACCTGGTCCTTATCCTAACAGGGTTCACCTGCCAGCCCTCGAAATTATTCAAACAAGCAAATCCATCTTCCTACGGGAACCAGGACAGCCAGTAACCTCTTGATACTATAAAGCCTGATCCCCATGGCCCCCGCTGGCCGCTGTGCTCCTGAGTGCAGCCCTGTGTGGCCCTCCATGGCGCACTGCGGCCTTGCCCCTCCAGGCTGTATATGTGCCGAATAAACTGCTGTCAGTCGCACCTGTCCATTGTCAGGTGGTGTGTGTTCGGCCGTCCTCAGACCCCTGGGCAGGACTCCCTCCCTCCCTCACCAGTGGGGTGAAGTGGAGGTGAGCAGAAGGGGCGGAGTGCAGACGTGGGGCTTTGTGCACATGTGGTTAATTCAGTGATGAGTGTTTGAAAGCTACATCTGGCTTCAATTAGCACGACAACTTCATCTTTTTCGTTTCACGCTTTGCTTTAAAAAAAAATCTTTAACGATTTTCCTTTCAAGGTGAAAGCAGCATTTAATGAGGAAACTCGCTGTTATGAAATTAGAGCGGCTTCAAGTTGCAGACGGCACGAGGAGGTGTTCATCTGCTACGGCCCCCACGATAACCAGCGGCTGCTCCTGGAGTACGGATTCGTCTCCACCCGTAACCCTCATGCGTGCGTTTATGTCTCAGAAGGTTAGAATTCACTTCGGTTGTTATCATGAAGATGACACAAATGTTTTTTCTCCATTGCAGATGTGGTTATTTTAAGTTTTAATAAAAATGGCAAACCTTAAAATGTCTATCATTTGTTTTCCCTGAGGTAGGGCTAGCCTTGCTCTTACTGACCATAGACTTTCAGTAGTGAAGTAAAACAACAAAGCTTTGATTGATACTGAGGATAAGGACTGAGAAACGGTTTATTGCATTAGGTCGGACAACAGAATGGAAGACCAGGAAAACTGCTAAGGACACAAATACAATATTAATAGATGAAAAGAAAAGGAACTTTTCGTACTGAGGCATTGTCACTGTCACTAAAGATAGACCAGGTTTAGAGAGCAACCAATAGAAAGTAGTTATTAAGCACCTAGTGTGTGGAAGGCACTGCGCTACTCATAGAGGCAAATCTGGCACACCCCTTGTTTGGGGGCTTTAATGCCATGATGAAATAGTCACTTATGTTCTGTTGTGGTCTACAAGGTAGCCATCATAATTGGTATTGTTATTTTTAAAATAATAATTCAGTTCTTCAATTTATGCTGTGAAAATTCCAAATAGCGTATGAAAAACAGTGCATCGCAGGCTGAGTTTTTCTCTTCTCCTGAAGCAGCAGCAGCAGTTTTCTATGCTGTGAAGACAGACAGAGATTTACTGAGTGTTCAATTTGAGGTAGTTTTAATTTAAGTTCTAGTGGAAGTAGAAACTCGATTGAGGTGATGCTGCTCTACCCAATAGGCAGAATAATAATGTTCCTTATCAAAATAAAATAGAAAAGCAAAAACAGGGCCTGTCTGGCTCTTATAGAAAACTAGCTTTGAGATTAGCCTCATGTGATCAGAATAACTTAGATATTGATGACAATGAAATACTGATTTGTGAATAAATTTTATGTCAGTTATTTTTACATTTAGAAAAGAAAAACAGAAATATAAAAAGAAAATTTAGAAATAGAAAAATCCCTCGTTACCATATGATGCCAAGTAGTTTTGTTAATTTTTATATTCGCTTTCAGTTGTTTATGATTGCAGTCGCTAGTGGCCAGACAGTTTTGAATTTTGCCTTTTAAAAACTTAATACTGGAAACATTTTCTCGTGTTTGTACAGAGCCTACACTTTTGGTGGGTGTAACTTCCCAGCAGTCCTGCTGATGTCGTAGTTACCTGGTTTTTTGGTCGGTTTGCTTAGTGGCAGCATGAGCTGAGGTTGTGGATGTTTGGTCCCCTGCCCTGGGATTCTTGTAGCTTTTCAAGGGCTAATAATGATCTCACTGAGTTGGACTTGAATAGTTTTCCGGTATGAATTAGGCAAAACTGTTTACATGTGTCTTGCTTGCCAATGGAAGGAAGTTGAGAAGGAAAGGTCTATGCTTTTATCTGAATTACACCCTAAACCTCAGTCTGATTTTTTTTTATGTAGATATACTTGTTAAGTATCTTCCATCAACAGATAAACAGATGAACAAAAAGATTTCCATTTTAAAGGATCATGACTTTATAGAGTAAGTGTTTCTTTTTCTCAAACTTATTTCTTCAGGAAATTTTGATGAAAAAATGGAGAGTTAGGGTTTCTGTAGGTGTGAGATACCTCCTGACTCAAACCACTTGACAGGTAGGTATTTACTGAGCACTTCCTATGTGTAGTAAACTGTGCTCAATGTTGTGGGCCACGCAAGGAGTGTAAGACTTTGTTGGGGACATAAGATACCAGCTTGAAATCCTAAATCAATATACCAAAGGAAAGCTCTGAGTGTCTTGACTGGTGGTCCAGTGTGTTTGTCTCTGACACTGGGCTCCTGGGGGCCAGGCTGGCCTCAGTCCCCCAACAACATGGTGTGGGCTCTTGGGATGGGGCGGCCATGTGATTCCAGCCAAGTGGGATAAACAGAGTTCAAGGCTCTCCCTTTCAAATTTTCTTCTGTAGATAAAATGAAGCTTTAACCAATCCAGCCTCAGAATGAGGGCGGTCTAGCTGTAATGGTTGCCATTTGTTTGATCCCAAGGATAACCAGGTTCTTCATCCTTTATCTCACCATGACCTGTGGGCCTGTGGCCCATGCGTCCCGCTGTGGCCTCATCCAAGTTCGGCTTCTTAGCCAAAATAAATTGGAAAATCCTTTTTTTTTTCCTAAAGAATTTTCTATTATTCAGGCTTTATTCTTAAGTATTGGCAGACTTATTTTTTTCTTTTGTCTTTGTGACCACAATCATAGGCTACATAATATTTAGTGGCCCCTTTAAAGAAAGTTTGCACTCCTTAGCCATTTGCCATGGTGTCACGAAGTACCGAAATGACGGATTTGTCCTTGTTTTTCTTACTTTAGAAACTTGACGTTTGGATGGGATGGACCATCTTGGAGGTTACTCACAGCTCTTAAGTTGTTATGTCTGCAAGCTGAAGAATAGTAAGTTTCACGTGTGTTGGTCATGAGCTGTAGTGACAATCTGGAATGCCATTGTGCATATCGGGGTTGCTTATTCTTTAGGTAACTTGCCCATGCGGTGAGTGTTTCAGTGCTAAGTTGTCATCATTTCTGGAATCCTGGCTTTGGCATCATAATCAGATGCACGCTCCTGGGAACTTCGTCGCCTACCCAGATATGTCCCCCGGTGACCTGCAGCCCGTTGTTCAGGGCAAACGTGGCACAAGTGTGAGCACTGGCGCTGTTCAGAGGACGCTCCCTGAGTGGGTAGTTTTTTCCCAGGAGCAGGCAGAGCTCCTGACGAAGGGCCTCCCTGGTTCTGCCCCTGGGGCAGCTCAGGCCTCTGGCCCAGGGGAGGCCTGGGTGTCTCCCTGGGGGAGGCAGGTAGAGGATTCCTGGTGTGCACCGTGTCAGGCTGAAGCCTCTACTATTTCCTGGGCCTTTGGGTCCTCAGCTCACACAGCTGTGTGCCGCCCAGCCCCAGAGCTCCTTCAGCCTGGTCATGTCAGGGAGCTGGCGGGTAATGCCCATTACATAGCAGAAGCTCAGGGGAGAGAAACCGTGTGTGGGGAGGACTTCCTGGAGGTGGTGAGCTGCACCCTTGGGCAGCTGGAGGATTAAATGAGATACTGCCTAGGAATCACCCTGAACACAGAGCCCAGAAGTAGCTGGTACTCATTTAATGATGCCTATTACGTTGTTATGATATTGCTTCTTTTTTTTTCTGTAGGAACTTGGGGAGAAACATTGCTCCCTGGTCTCAACACCAGAAATAGTTGTGTTTATTCTCAGCAGGTGGTGTGTTTTTGTCTTACCGACACAGTGACTTTGTAACTGACGTGTTTCCCCCTTTGTATTGCTCACTAGAAAACTCAGAGGCAGGTTTGCGGTCCCCTGAATGTGCAGGATTTAAGGCACGCCATTTATCCCGGCTGCTGTGTCTTACCTCACTCCTCTCACCTTCCTTTTGTCTTGTCCCTGTCCATTCAGCTTTTAAGAAACGTAAGTTTCTTAAAATTCTCTTGGAAAAAGATATGAGTCCTTTTCAGGCACGTCAACCTCAAATTAAATACAACAGGATATTTTCCCGAGGCCGTCCTGAGGCCTCTCTTTTTCCCTTTGCATTATTTCTAACTCTGGAGGGGCGTGGTGATCAAGCCCGCGTGCGTGCATGCTAGTTCTGCCTCTCATTAGCTTTGTCACTTAGGGTAAGTTCTTTACCGGTCCCGATTCTCAACTTCTTTATGTCTGATGTGGGGATAATCTTCTTCTGCTAGCTGATTGTGAAAATTAAATTAGATATGGTTATGTATGAAACACGGTGCTTGGCACATAGTAATTTCCTTCCATTCTTTCCTGAGAACTCATCTATTCCTGAGGTTTCCGCTGTCATCCCTAAAGCTGAAGACAGCTGAGACTTTATTTCCTTTGTGGCTAGTCAGCTGTGCTGAGTTTCTGAGCGCCTTCTGTGTACTTCCACTCGGATGCTGCTTCCAGATTCTCCACGTCCAGAATTGGTACCTCCACCCCCTTTCTCCGTGGTTAGGGCTTCTTCCTGGCCTAGAGTTGGCTCTGCTACCCTCGGGCTCGGCACCCTGCTGTGGCTTCCTCTGGCCTACCTTGAGACCCCACCCCCTGCCTGCAGAGCTGGCCCCACCCGCCCACCGACCACATGGCCTCTGAGCCTCTGCGGTTGAAAACAGGGATGAGCTGCATGCAGAGAAGGGCTTCACTTAGATTCCTCCTTCGACAGCTTCCTTTGTGAAATGTGTTCCATCCAGTTTGCCATGTTTTAGAAAACGCTGTCACTCAAAGAGAGGACCCTTTGCTGCCTTTTGCTCCTTAGTCCTTTCGGCTGTGGGCTCACTGTCCTGTTCTGTCTCCTGCTGTGTTCCCGTGGCTGGTGGAGAGGGCCACTTACTATGTGCCAGACACAGGATTGTGTGATAATAAAAGGGTGCCAGTCCCCTCTCTTCTTCTTGGCAACTGCACGTGGTGGGAGGTTAGGGCATCTGCGTGTGGAACGTGTTTTATGCTTCTGGAAAAGTAGGAGAGGAGTTTGTGTGTTGTGTTGGGTGGAGAAGCCTTCTTTGCTTTTTGCAAGCCTGCTGAAATGACCTCATTGAACATTTTGGTTCTAGTACGTGCTGGAAAAAAGTACTTCTTGGGGAAATAATTTCAGATGCAAATGAGAAGACAAGTTTGGACATAGCCCAGAAAATATGCCATTATTTCATAGAGGAGAGTAATGCTATGCTTCAAAAGGTATGTTTCTAGAATTCTACATCTTTTTCTTACAAGAGTTACTTGTCCTATACATGTTGGATAGGGTTGCTACCCCTCCTTAGGGTGTTGTGTAACGGCTTAAATGAACGTTGATGTGATCTGTGTTTTTGACTGTAAACCTTGTGTCTACACCTTTTAATAGGTAAAATTATTGCATGAATACTTGGTAATAGATATTTAAGTACTCTTTCCCTTTTAGTTTTATTTAGTAAATGTTTTAATTAAATGAGAAATCAGCTCATGTGAATGAAAACATTACTGGGATTAAAACATTTAATGAAACTTGAAGACATTGTGTTAAGCGAAATAAGCCAGAATACAAGACAAATACTCCGTGATTCCACTTACATGAGCTGTCTAGATGAGGCAAATTCATAGAGACAGGAAGTGAAAGTTACCAGGAGCTGCGGGGAGGGTGCAGTGGGACTTATAGTTTGGTGGGCACAGAGTTTCTGTTTGGGATAATGGAACAGTTCTGGAGTTGGATAGTGGTCATGGTTATATAACATGTACTGCATGCCCCCGAATTGTTCATTTAAAAGTGGTCAAAATGGTAAATTTCAATTGATGTATGTTTTATTACAATAAAAATGTTTTTCAAAATGACTTCCAGGTTTCTCATATGAAAGATGAAGAAGTGGCTTTGGTAAACCAGCTAACTTTGGTGGAAACGCTGTGGGCGGAAGAACTGAAGATCCTCCAGGCATCTGCTGAGCTCCTCAGCAATTCGCAAGCAGCTTCTAGGTAACTCCACCCAAGTGCTTTTGATCACCTCCTATGGTGGGTGTGACGACTTAAACATTTTAAAACTAAGGTTTCTTTTATGTAGAATCATGTATACTCAATGGGTGGTTTCTATTAAACAGTTACATACTTCATTGTCTTCCTTTTCCTTTTCGTTGTTCGGGTTTGTGGGATTGAGTGGTGGCTGCCCCGAGGACCTTGGAGGGTGTCTGCGGGGACAGAGCAGGTTCTGGGGACTCTGGGCTGTGCGTGAGGATGGATGCCCTGCTAATGGCGCTTCTCGCACTCTCACAATCAACAGCAGTCCTGAAGGAAGAAGTCAGGAAAGTTCTGTGCTGGGAGGAGAGAGGGAGGTGACGAGGGAGCCTGGGCCTTGCACTGGGCTGCCTGCTTTTATCTGACTCGGCAGCTGGACAAGGGCGAGAAGCTGTGCTTCTGTCCTGCTCTGATGCCACTGGGTTTAGGGGCGCCCTGGCGGTGGGCGGCTTTGGAGGGGGGTGTATGGAGCGTGATGGGCAGAACTGGGTGCCCGCTGGGCCTCACCCCCAGCCCTCTGAGCTAGGTCAAATCACTGAACTTTCCCGCCTTGATTTCCCGTCTGAGAAGGAGGTCGTTGGGCTGGAATGGGGGTCCCCTGTGCTCCAGCCCCTCGCCCCCCATCCCGACCCACCTGTGGCACCTGTGGCAGGCAGAGGCCCCAGGCGGTGCTGCCACCCCCCTCAGAGAACCGGGGAATTACAATACATAATCCCTGACTGATTTTTATGAATGGAAAATGAATTAATCATTATTACTAAAGAAAGGAGAAAGGTGGAGGCTGCCTCCTCAGTCCTCCCTCTGTTTCAGTTTCCACAGTGTGTTTAAATCTCTTGTCACCAGTGTCCGTTCCTTTACCGCTGTGAGTGTTCAACTCTTTTATTCTGCTGCTTTTCTGTCATTTTAAAGGGAGTGTTGGGAGGATTAGGAGAAACATTTTGTGGTCCGTTGGCCATTTTGAATTTTTTAAATTATAAAAGCATTTTAGGCTATGGACTTCCCTCTGAGGATGGCTTTTATATAAAGTGTGCTCTGATTAGTATTTTTTAGATCTTGGCTTTGTATTTATATTTTTCACAGCATTTCCATGTCTGTCAATTAATATTCAGGACAACTGTGTGTGATGGGGGTGCGGTGGGGTGGTCAGAGCAGGTATCATATCATGTCACAGGAGCAAATATATGCTTATTATAAAAATTGGACCAGACTGACACATAAGACAATCACATTGATTAAATATTAGGAATACTGGGAGGCCTTTATGTGCAGCGTTTTATTTAAGCCTCTCAACTAGCCTATTTTAAAAATAAAGAGGTGAAGAAACTGTCTAAGATTGCACACCTACTTCGTGGTAGCGTGGAGATGCCCACTCACAGTGCCCTCAGAGGGACCACTGTCCACAGCGTTGGTGTGTTGGTGTCCCGAATTCGCCATGCTGCCCTGACATGGGAATAGAGTCCATGGTTCCATGCCTTCGCCTCCGTTTTCAGTTGGCATCAGTACGTGCAGAAAGCGGAGCTTCTGCGACTTCCTACACAAGCATTAGTGAGCATTGCAGACCTCGCTGAAGATGTCGTTGGGGAGACGTCAGAGCGGCCGGCACGGCTCTTCCTGCCACGCAACTTCAAAGTCTTGATTACACATGTAGTGGGAGCCCTGCCTGCAGGAGAGCAGCCTTCTTTCTTCTCTCTGCAGGCAGGCAGGCCCAGGCCAGCATGTGGTCCTGCTGCAGGTCTCCTTGCCTGGAAAGGCAGGAGGTGGGTGCAGGCACAGCCCGGCTTGTCCTGGGAAAGAAGGGGTCTTACTCCGGAAGCGAGGGGCGTGGCTCTCTGCTCTGTGGACACAGCTGCTCAGCCCGGGTGTCCTTCCCCAGGGGGATGCATTGAGGTAAATTTTGGAGGAGCCTCCTGGGGGCCACTTGGGGTTTCCAGGAGGAGGAGGGTGTTTCTGACCCTATCTGTGCTCCTGGTCTCTGGCCCCCAGGGCAGAGCTTATCTAACTGCTGACTCAGGAAGAAGGACTGGCCCGCAGTGCATTCCCATCAGCCTTACCCTGGAGGCCTTCCCAGTTAGGCCTCTCCAGCACAGCTGAGCCCCTGTGGGGATGTCTGCTTGATTCTGGGGTTCAGCGTAGGTAAACTGGCCTAAAGCCACAGCCATATTTTGACCTCTAGCCTTTCTCTTTTATTTTGTATCCTTTTGGGAACCAGGATGGGAAGAGGTGGGCATTCCCTCTGTAACTCAAAATGGGCTTCGGCCTCCAGGGACCCCTGGACAAGTCATGCAAGGGGTGGAGCTGTGGAGGGGTAGCCAGGTTGGGGACGGGCCAGGGTCTGCTCGCCCTGCCTCAGGCTGTGCAGGGGCTGCCCCAGTCAGACACTTCTGTTGCCCAGAGTCCTCCTGTTTTCCCTCCCTGGTTTTCCTTCTTCCCCAGAAATCGAATTCATCTCATTACAGAGCACAATGAAACCCAGTGAATCAGGGGCCCGTTGACCTCAGAAGGCAGGCAGTGTTAGAAGTAAAGCCTTTTCATTATTGTATCGTCAACATTTATTCCTGTTCATATATATAGTTGGTGTTGACTTTATTTTTTAGTATCTACAGTGGATTACATAATATGCTGTACCACAGGTCTGAAAACTTTTTCTATAAAGGGCTCAAAAGTAAATATTTTAAGCTGTCTGGGCCATACAGTGTTTGTCCCAACTCTACTGAGCAACAGCCACAGACAGCATACAAACGAGCAGCATGGCTGTGTTCCAGAAAGACGTTCTGTGCGAAGGCGCCACGGGCCGGAGCTCACTGAGCCCTGCTATACCATGCTTTACTTTTTCTGTTCCCTAGCTGTGGACGCCTAGGACCTAAATATATTAATTCCTACTTGAAGTGGCTTTACACCTGTAGAAAATAAAGCCCTTAACATGAACAACTTTGCAGACCCACGTGGTAATTGTTGTGCTTTTGTTACCTAGTGATGAGAAAAAATAGACAATAACACAAAGCAACTACTTAGGGGCTGGCCGAGTGGCGTGTTGGTTAGGAGTTGGCTTGGGACCGTGAGCTCTGAGCAGCAGGGCCGCTGGTTCGGATCCCACATGGGCCAGTGACACTGTGCCCTCAACAGCTAAGATGGTGAACCACAGCTCGACCTGGAGCTGGGCTGCCGTGAGTCACTGGCGACGGCGTAGGCTGCAGTGGGCTGCCATGAGCTACCCTGAGTGGCTGGCAGCCACCGTGAGCTGCCATGAGCCGCTGTGAGTGGCTGTCCAATGGCCGGCGACTGATCTGCCTCAGCCAGGAAGAGCGCAATGATCACAATACCAACATGGGCCAGTGAAGCGA